GAGAGTGAGGATATTAAGAGGGCACCTGCTGCATGACTAGTCTAGGCAAGTAGTCTGGAGGACAATTTTATTAACAATAATGTTTATATACTATATTTTTTTACTATGTACACTATCACGTTTTCACAAATTAATTCGAAGTTTTTTTTTATGCTGATGAATACTTCTTATCTATTAATCTATTAATAACTGCGCTAGAAAATAGAGGAAGGAAGTAAATGTCTAAATAATTTTTTTGTCTTTATTTATGTTCCATGATTTTGCTTTTGTCAATCCAGTTCCTGATTTAAGCAATTGATTTAAACTACTTCTAAACACAAGTACGCGAGTGCCTACTACCGAGATTGAGTGCTACGTTGGCTGCTATTATTATCTAGAGGCGCCTACTTTTTGCACTCAAATTCCAAGCAAGTTAATTTTTTACATTCGAATAACATTTCGAATACATTTACCATTTACCCAACAACTAAGTCGTATTTTTTATATAATTAAAGATTTATCTTCTTATGACACTGATTATATAATATAAGCTCAAATCCGCAACATCTTTATCTATTTAAGAATTTTTCTTTATTGAATCTTACACAAAGTATATGACAAAAGGCGGACAAAATTTTGGGTGTACCTATATGAAAATCTCGATTTCGAAATCAATGAAAATAGCTAGAGACACGAAAATGAAACATGTACCTACGCACTGTTCACATAATATGGCTGTAACACGAATGTGTCGGCTCGACTGGGGTGGGACCTCCGTGGGTGGGACTACTCTCTCACAGAATACCAGCGTAAAATAGCAGCTTAATGCTGCTGTGTTTCGTATGGTAAGTATAGAGCATCGGAGATTCTTTTTACTGGAAATAAGGCATGCCATCTTAGTCCTCAGGGGTGACAACGTATCTGCATTTTGATTCTTAATCGAAGATAGATGTAGATATCTATGGGTCACAGAATTCACTTACCATCAGGTGGACTGTGTGCTCGTTTGTCAATCTTATTCTATAAAAAAAAAACTATGTAGATTATCTGTGCTAAATTTTATCGAAATAGGACAAATTAGTTTCAGAGCAGATAGCAATAACATATTGTATCGGAGTCAAGTGCACGCATTGCTATGTTCCGTCCAGAAGGGAGCCACACTGTGAGGCATACAACCTTAATTCTTAGAGGCAAAGAATATATATTATACTCAGTGGAGACAATGCATATGTAGCCTTTTTTGATGTTGCCGGCAGTCTATGGACTGCAGTAGTCACTTACCATTTGAACCTTACCATTACCAGGTGAAGTGAGTTCTTTTGTCACTTCAGTTTTATAAGAAACTAGCTCGCCAGGCAGACGTTGTTCGGCCCTTTTCGACGACCCTTCATATAAAAAATTCTTAAATTCGTAATGAAAAAATTTGAGGGTCATTTAGCGGGATAAAAACTATCCAACTCTCAAGTTGGACCAAAATGCACACAGTGTGCAAAATTTCATTGAAATCAGTTCAGTAGTTTCGGAGTCCATCGCGGACAAACAACGTGACTCGTAATTTTTATATATAAAGATAATATCGTATGGTATAAATACAACGTACATTGTATTGTTTCATTGTGTAAATTTAAATGACTGCGTTGAGCTGATTCTACTGATAGAAGTATTTGGCGATAACAGATTAACTAGAAATGAAATTATATAAAATGTTCTGTGTCGAAATGCTACAAAATATGTTTCTCTCTGTATATTTATTGATTCATGCATAGGTACTTGTGATGCTTCATAACATAACTGCTTGTTGAACTATTCCTATAACCTATTTATTTTTTTAAGAAAACGTTACCCTATAGTAGGCATGAGATGTCTCGTAGCTTTTACCTTGATTCCCGTCGCCGTTGTTTTACATCTGACTTGCAATAAATCTATTAGAGGTGATGAGCTTTTTCTGGCATTTCATTACCAGGACGAAAAGAGGCGGGGTATTCTCTCACACGCTTTTGGCTTGTTGATCAGTATCTTAAAAATATACAATAGTATATTACATATTTATATATTTTATCAGTTAAAATAAGCGTAGTGTCGCGCGCACCCTAGACGGAGTGACGACATGTTAAAGAGATGTAGGTAGCTCAGGACTGTGGTATTCTTGGGGGAAGGCCTATGTTCAGCAGTGGCCTTGTAAGGTTGTAATGATGATAACGATAATGTTGACTATAGTCAGGTGCTTGATACATAACTATGTATATAACTGGATTACGTCGAATATTAAGCAAGAAAAGAGCTAAGTATGGCAAGACCGACAAGGCCGCGAGCGCGGTCACTCATAGCCGACAACGCGCCATTCCGAGAACCATTTCCGCTCCGTTTATTAACGCTCCGTCGCCCCTCGAACACATATTATCAACAGCTTATCTTATAAATGAACTTGATACAACATTCCTAGAGTGATTTTTTTTTTAATTAAAATTAAGTGTTAGGTGTCGTAAAGTTATAGCAATTTGTTACAGGGACGCTATTAATTAAAAATACATTTTTAATTAATAGGGCCAGACGCTATTATTTAAAAATTCCTTTTTTAATTACATAGGCTGCACTAAAAGTATCGGGAATGGAATATTTCCACTGTTCCTGTCATTTTAAAATCTTTTTAATTGAAAAATCCTTGGTTTTAAAAATCGAATACCATTTATTAATTTAAAAAAAGATTCTCGGTCTTGTCACAAGGTTTTGTCAAACTTGTTTAGTCGTTGAGAAAATGGAATTGACTCGAGAAAATTCAAGAGCGATGATTTATTATGACTTTCGAAGTGGTTTAACACAAAAACAGTGTGTTGACCGGATGATTTCTACATTTGGTGATGAAGCCCCATCCAAAACCACAATTTATCGCTGGTTTGCTGTGAATTTCAACGTGGACGTGTCAAGCTCAGTGATGATCCCCGCCAAGGTCGTCCAAAAACTGCAGTCACCCAAGAAAACGTTGATGCTGTGCGTAAGCTGATTGAGGAAGATCGACATGTGACATACCGCGAAATTCAGGCAACTTTAGACATTGGCATGAGTCAAATACAAATAATCTTTCATGAACAATTAGGTGTAAAAAAGTTGTTTTTCCGATGGATACGGCATTCGCTCTGTGAAGAGCAAAAAGCGGCTCGCGTTACTTGGTGCGTCAGAACTCTCGAAAGATTCCACGCAGGATCCTCAAATGCTGTATACAACATCGTATCAGGTGACGAATCCTGGATATATGCGTATGAACCCGAAACCAAAAACCAGTCACGAGTTTGAGTGTTCGAAAATGAGTTAAAGTCAACAAAAATTGTTCGTTCACGGAGTGTTGCAAAAAAAAATGGTGGCCACGTTTGTCTCCAAAACCGGCCATGTCACGACTATTCGTCTTGAGGGACAAAGAACGGTTGATGCAGAATGGTATGCTAGCATTTGTTTGCCACAGGTCGTTTCTGAACTCCGTAAAGAGAACTGCAACCGCCGCATCATCCTCCATCACGACAATGCGAGTTCTCACACCGCACACAGAACAAAAGAGTTTTTAAAGCAAGAAAACAGAATTATTGGACCATCCGCAGTACAGCCCCGACCTAAACCCTAATGATTTCTATACTTTCCCTAAAATAAAGAATAAATTGCGTGAACAGAGATTTTCATCACTTGAAGAAGCTGTGGACGCCTACAAAACGGCCATTTTGGAGACCCCAACTTCTGAATGGAATGGTTGCTTCAATGATTGGTTCCATCGTATGGAAAAATGTGTCAAATTTGGCGGAGAATACTTCGAAAAGCAATAAATACATTTATAAATAGTAATGTTGTGTCACTTCCTTGATTCCCGAAATTTTCAGTGCCACCCTCGTAATAGCATCTGGCTGCATGCCTTAAATTCAGTTATTTTTGTTCAATGACCTATACTGACACAATTTTGATCACCATGTTGGTCCAGGCTGTGCCAAAAATAACAAACTTCCTTCTTTCAAGTCAAATTTTAAGTAAAACATGAAACTTGATATTTATGTCGCATGTTTATGGTAACATCAGATTTTTGTCTTCTTCTGATTCTTGATCAAAAGCCTATGTTTTTGATCAAGAACCGGAAGAAAACCAAATTATTACTTTATATTATCAATAAACCTGAGAAAATCCAGTTTTTTTTTACCAAAAACCTAAACTGATTAAGTTTTATGATAGAATCAACCTAACCTAATCTAAGCCAAGCTTAAATTTTATCGTAAACCACACAGTTTCAGGTTTTTGATCGAAAAACAGGTTTTTTTCAAGTTGATGATAAGATTTAGTTGTCTTTTTACGGTTCTCTTATTTTATAGGATAAGGGTGACAAACGAGCACACAGTCCGCCTGATGGTAAGTGGTTGCTGCAGCCCATAGACATCTACATCTATCCTCTATTACAAATCAAAATGCAGATGCGTAGTCACCCGTGAGGACTAAGAGGGATTGCCTCATTTCCAGTAAAAAGGGTCACCGGGTTCCTACACTCACCATGCGAAACACAGCAGCGTTAAGCTGCTATTTTACGCTAGTATTCTGTGAGATCGTGATCCTTCCCCGGTCGTGCCGACCCATTCGTGCTACAACTATACCAGTAATATAGCTGCAGCATGACTCGACTACGTAAAAGATCAAAAGCCTGATTTGACCATAAACCTGCGATATTTATTTCCATTTAAATTAGTATAAGTGATAAAAGTTTAGGGTCCACTACAAGGGAGTAAACTGTATTTAAGAGATATTTCATTGGATAAAGCAACGATCTGAATTCTAATCCATATTGTTATAAAAGCCATTTTTGAAGCGGTATCAGTTTAAATAAATAAATAGAACTCGCACTTCATCAGTTCATTAAGATTCAACATAGGCCTATCCTATTGTAGGAATGATTTGGCGTAATCACCATGCTTGGCAGGCGAATTAGAGATAGATCGCTGTATTAGACACTATTTTTTATTTCTATAAAAATACTAACTTTAATTTTTCTGTTACAGGTCTTGGCTTTTGGTGTAGTGCACACCAAGCCAATTCAAGCACATCTCAAAGAGAACAACGATGATTATAGGGAAACAAAACGCGGTGCCACGTCCGAATTTCAAAATGAACAAGTTATATCCGTAAGAATTACATCGTCTGTTGCAGTAGGTAGAGGCAAAGAAAAAACGAATAAACCATCTGAAAATAAACAATTGTTGAATACCAACATCACAATGCCACCGACATTTAATACTCAAATTACAAATACAACAAATACAACAAATCTAACGACAATCGAAGACATTGAAGACGAAAACGTAACTGACGTAATGCTAAAATATGCTGGTGCCAATTTAGATTATATCAAGCAACTACAAGCACGGAAAGAAGCAAGAGGCGTAAATAATTTTGAAAAGGCGAATCCTTTTGAAACGGATATTAAACAATTTAATCACAACATTTCCGAAGAGTATACAACCGAATTTTCTGATAAAACAGTGACTGATGTAGAAGCCACAGCAAGTGAAACTGATGAAACAGTTGAAAATGTTCCAATTGGGAGATCTATTTCATCTTTGTCTGCAAAAAAATATGTACAAACTTTAACGCATGAATCATTGTTCGAAAGGGACGAAAATACACGATTAACTACAGTTAGTTTTAATATTGTTCATGACGGTCCCAAGCATCCATCTAGTTATGAGCACCCCAATAATAGTTTAGGTCAAAATAAAGCTTTTTATAATGCCCATCCAAAGGTTTATAGTCAACCAGCTCAGGTGTATAGTGAGCCGGCTAAATTTTACAGTGAACCAGCTAAATTCTACAGCGAACCAGCTAAAATTTACAGCGAACCAGCAAAAATTTACAGCGAACCGGCTAAGGTATACAGTGAACCTGCAAAAATTTACAGTGAACCAGCTAAATATTACAGTCAACCAGCTTCTTTACATCTCACACCGGAACCTCTACCGAACCATACGCCTTGGCGACCACGTTCACAAACTACACCTGTAACTAGTTCGACAAATGAGGCAGATATAAGCACAACACCAATTACTACTATAGACTACAAAATGAATACTGAGGCGTACATAGAACATCAACCTGAAAAAAATTACGAAGTAGATGAAAAAATTAGTGTTATGACAGAAGGCCGTAGTCACGGCGTACAGAAGCCAAACAACGAAAACTGCAAACAGGAAAACTGCAAAGTGGGCTACGTAGTTGAAGGCAGACAGTATAAAAAGTACCGCGTTGAAGAAAGGACTCCAGACGGGTTCATTGTCGGGGAGTATGGTGTAGTTAGAAACGAGGATGGAGCGCTTAGAGGCGTTAGGTATACAGCAGATAGTGAAGCCAGCCCCCGTCTTATACAAGACGCACTTATGAAGTTCCTGCAGCTTAAATAGGTAATACGCGTATAATTATTATAAAATGCTCATTTATTTTTGTAAGACGTACTCAATAAAATTAGGGCAAATGGCACATAATAAATATTTAGAGAGATTTTTGTGTAAATATTAATGAAGACTGAGTAATTTGGTACCCTAAAACAATAAATTTTTATAATGTCAATAAATGCTTCTACATTTTCGTAATCTTTATCTCTCTAACCTGCTTTTCCTCTTATTTTTTCCATGTATGAAACAGTTTGTAAAGGTATTCATAGTAAAATATGTCATTTAGGAAGGCTAATAGAAATTATAAGCCTTATTTAAACATTTGCTCAACAATAAGAATAACATTTCAACCATGTCGGTCTTACAAAAACATGGTTTTTAACTAAGTATATGAAAAATACATACTTTGTGCCATCTTTTTTTATTACCCTGCCTACTTAATTTTATTTCATTCTCCCTTTTTTTTCTTTTAATTTATAAGAATTTGTGCCGTAGTTAGCTAATATGTACATAAATCTAGAATATGATAATTAAAGGCTTGCAAACTAAAATGTTTTTTACTTGCTACATATTGGATATAAGGTATGTTTATGAATAAATAAGAAGCGAATGAATGAATAGAGGTTATTAAGAGGAACAAACTGTATTTATTCAATACTCAACATCATTTAAGCTGTTACAACGCTTACAATTATAATATCAATAAGTTTTCTAATATTTTCTGTTTTGTACAATCAATATATTTGTTACAGTGATTATATTAAATAAATATAGGTAATTTATACCTATATACAAAAAAAAACGTATAACATACTTCGTACGTCGTAAATAAAAATATATTTTAATAGACTGAATTTAAATATTATAATTAGTAAGTACGTAAATACAAAAAAATGCTTTTATCCAACAATAATATAAAAAATTAAATATACCTATGGGATGTTTAAAGAAGGCTAGAAACAATATTTTATATCTATTTTCACACGTCACATTTTTCGTAGAAAATACTAGAACGTCGTAACTATTTATTATTAAAATTTTCTACGCAATACACTTATTTATTATTTATTCATCCGCACAATTATTTTTTAATTTAAAAGTGAATGTGATTGAATCTCTAATTTGTTATAAATATTGATGCAACCAACACATAGGTTATCTTATTCACCTGAGTACGTATTACACAAAACATTTTTTGTGTGTAATAAGTACTTAAATAAGTTTAATAAGACTAAAACACACTTATGCAGTCGGCGTGTCGATTCTCCAAGAACCACTTCTTTGGATTTATTTGTTGCCAATTATTTTTCCTATACAAAACAACATGCATACTACACTTGCCGAGTTCTCTACGCAGCACTCTTAGGTAACAATTATTTTGACGTGGAAGCACTTGTTTTAATCAGGCGACAAAATTTTGGTTTTCTTTAATACATGTAACCAATAATATGACGGTTCAACTTCTTCTAAGAGCTTCACGATAAGTGCAAGCTAAATCTAATATATTATAAAAACCCAAAACGATTAAATTCCGTTTCTATGCAGAAATTGAACAGAATATATACCTAAGTTGTTTACTTGTTCTATATTTGAACAAACTTATTAATCAATATAATATATAATTGATCGATAAAAACACGTCTGTTTGTCGTGGTCCATTTTTAACAACTGTAAATATTTGCAGTAATGATAACATAATATTACACGATCATTATAAGAATTAAAATATATTTTACACTATTTAATTTATTTCACTACTTTATTTAACAAACGTTGAAGTCGGAATTTTTATAAACGATGGACATGCCTAATATAAGACAAAGCGGAGACTTACGGCTTTTCTTCCTCAACTTCATTTAAAATTAGGCAACAATTTTTTCTGAAATGTTTTAAAAGGCGCTAGTCAGTCCCTAGACGTGAATTTTTCTTTGTATTAAGATTTCTTTAAAAGTTAACCGTTATATTTTTTACGGATAAATTTTTCAAAAAATTAAAAAAATGTCTTTTTAATAATATTTTATTAATACTAAATTTATAACTTACTTTATGATAAATATATATAAAGTAGTCAGAATATTTAGTTTGAGTAGTTTGATTTTAATATCAAATATTTACCGGTAGAAAAAGCTAAAGGTTTATAAATCACTATTTTTAACTAAGTCTTACTGTAAAAATAAAAAAGCAAACAAATTATTAAGCACGTTCCTTTTATAAGTTACTAGCGAACCGCCCTGGCTTCGCACGATCTCTGATTTCTGAATTTCAAAAACAGCGCCATCTTCCGGGTCCAAATGTAAACCATCCAAATTTCATCAAAATCGGTCAAACAAAAACACACGTACAGAATGTATATAAAGATAATATTTTGTAACGAAAAGCTTGATATAAAATTAAACGGAAAATAGTTGCATAAATTGATAAAAATAATATAGAATTACGACGATATGTAAGTTCAGTAGGTAGATTAATAAATTTGGGTATTTATGATAAATATAACATTATTTAATTACCTATATATTAAATAGAATAGTTAAGAGCAAGTTTACACAGATGATATTATATAGATAGGTAGAAAAAATGTTGGTATATTTCAACAGCGTACACATAGGCGTGATAAACATGTCCCTAATAATTATTGAATGTACTACAGATATAAAAGTAGTTAAGTAGAGAGTTCAGAATTAAATGGACCAAAAGGGCACAAAAACTGCTTTACTATATTTTAAATTCAATAGTTAATTATAATAGTAGGTATTTAATATTACTTAAAATCTCAAAGCGCCTCAGGTATACGAGTAATGATTATAATTTAATTTAACAAATAGGTAAACGGAATTTACAAAAATAGAACGAAGCATTATTTAAACCTATTCGTTGATGATGATTTAAATGGAACATTCATAAATGAAAAAGAACTTATCTCATTTAATGGTAATAAATGTATAACCAATAATTTTTGATATTTCAAACATTGTAAACCTTGAATAACAATGATTTCCTTACTTTCATCTAAACTTTAGGTACTTCAACTAATGCTCATTAAAGAATACTTGTACAAATTAAAACCTTTCACAAATAAAATCGAATCTCTTTTGTTTATACTATTAAAATAGCAACAAACTATCTAATGACACACAACACAATGCTTGGTTTCGATGACTGCTAACATAGACCGTTGTAATAAGTCCGAAGTATATGACTATGCAGTGAATTAGTCGTAATTTTCCGATTCCTGCTGCACCAGTTTGAACCGACGCGGACTTTTGACTGCGATCGAGCCGTGGCCGTCCAACGACAGCCGCCCCTTCATTTGTAAGTATCTAAAGCATAAAATAAAAGTGAATATTACACATAACATTGCACAACTTAAATAGTAATAACAGGAAGGCACTAATTAAATGTATCAAGGAAATTTACTATACTCTATGTAAATTACGAGCTTGTAATGTGGAACTTGCGCTCATAGGCCCGGTCTTCAGTATCCCAAATTCTTATTCCAATGTTACAAAATAAAGCCTTAAAAGATATAGGTATCTTTTATAATAACAAATAGCCAAAAACGAACAGGTTTTGGTTTTGGTTCCAAAATCTAATACTTGGTACTGACACACAACTGACAACTTGAAGCGTTGATCCGTTGTCAAACGTTTATATTCTCGTACTGCATAATCTATGGTTTATATATTTTTCCTATTATCACGGATATAAATAGATCAAATTGTGTTAGTATGTGAATGAGTGTGAATATCGTTACTTAAATAATAATTTGTTACCGAAATAATAATCTATTTCTTTTTTTCTGTTTCAAAAAATTCATAACGTACCTTTTTATGAAACGGCAAACAAGTTTGGTCGGGCGCTGTTGCCATTCATCTAAAACCTCTTTTGGCGCTAAGACCTAAATTGAAAGGAAAGTAAAGAAAAATAAGAAATTTACAATTTCTTTTAGGGTCGATTTTTCAACCATCAGATAAAAGTTATTCAAGGGATAAAATACAAAATTAACAAACAAAAAATTTCAGTTGTATGAATAAAATTGTTCAATTTATTAACTTTTGTATTCAGTTAGGATATTATTTATTTTAATGGATATCTTTTATCTGACGATTGCATAATCAGCCCTTAGTGGAATGAAAAGATTATACATTTTTAAGACGAATTGCAAAACCAGAGCCAGAACATTTGAAAACTGTACAAAATGTGTCTTTTTTATAGGATAGGGTGACAAACGAGCACACAGTCCACCTGAAGGTAAGTGGTTGCTGTGACCCATAGACATCTACATCTATCTTCAATAAAGAATCAAAATGCAGATGCGTTGTCACCCGTGAGTGAGGACTAAGATGGAATGCCGGTACGCCGGTATTCTGTGAGAGCGTGGTCCTTCTCCGGTCGAGCCGACCCACTCGTGCTACAGCTATACTACTAATATAGCTGCAGCATGACTCTACCACGTAGTAAATCTTATTTTAATTTTGAAAAAGCACTAAATTAAAAATTATTATAACTTAGCAGATAGAGACTTATGCAAAACACGTTTATTGGTTGAAATTAGTATATCCAAAATTCGTCGCAAGTTCTCGGGCCAGGTCGACCGTTGAGTGTAGCAAAGCTAAATTGATAATGTGGTCGGATAGTTACAAAATATAGAGACAATTACATCGACGGTAGAAAAAGGTATACAAAGTTCTCTAAATGCGAATCTCACTTGTACATGGTGCTACTTGTACTTTGTGCTACTTGTACATGGTGTTAATAGTTGTGATATGCTCAGGTAACTAACAAATGATAATATTCCCATTAAAATATGCCTCAGACTGACGATGGGTAGATTTTTCATTGCGAGCGTATCGCCACTGCATTGCCTGGTGTGGACCACTCCGAAGATATAGCTGCGCTCGTCTGTATAGAATAAAATTATTAACAACTTCGAAATTGAATGTAGAACCTACCTAATTTAGTAAGTAAATCAAAAATACATCTACTCCATTTTCTGACCTATCTCCATTTAATACAATAATTTAAACAATGTAAAAATATGAAATGTTGTTAATTACTAAGGTACGTGAGGGTAATATGGTCACTTTAATCTTTGCCGCCCTATAAAACCGAAACTAGGAAGAGGGCAGAGAGAAAAACACAAAGTCGTAAACTATACTTAATATATTAAAAAAAATAGCAAACAAGCTTTGGGTTTATGATTAGGAACACTTCGATAAATAAACTTAAAAAAAACCAACTACACTACACAATACTAAAACCGACTAAAATATTTACTATAATTTCAAATGTCAAAATGGCGTCGATAAAGCAGCGCCCTTTCGACTCTTTATTATTTGATTAACTGATGAAGAGCTATCACAGAGCCATCCGTGCAAACAAGACTGTAGTTTTCTACCGACTTCAAAAAGGAGACGGTCTTCAATTCCACTGTATGTTTTTTTTTTATATGTACCTCATAACTTTTTTCTGGGTGAAAAGATTTCGATGATTCTTTTTTTATTTGAAAGCTGGTGCTTCTCATTTGAGTAATTCTTAATTATTTATATTGAAGTCGGTTGTACAAAATTTTTAATTTTTAATTATTGAGAGATAAGAAAGTGATTATATTAACCGGATCACCATATTACACTTACGTACTATAATATTGTTTTATGGTGTTTGATTTATCTATATTGAAGGTACTTATATAACGATATATAAGTATTAGCTTTTATTGCATCATACTTATTAGTTTTGTCAAGAATTACGGGCGACATCCGGATCTTCAACATATGACATACCTGATCACCTTTAAGCCGATCTAGCAGTGTGACGCATACGACGGCTGCCTTAATACCGGCATGATGGGTGAGAGCAGCAAATGCCAGTGATTCCATCTCAATGTTTACGACACCCGCCTTGTGTATGCTCTCCAAGTACTCCATTTTTTCTGTTTCTGTGAAATCACAGAACGCACCGTCGAGGCGCCCTTGTCCTATAAAAAGACAATTATATGTATTAGAAAAATTAAAGTAATTTAAAACACAACTTTTTATCCAAAATATGAATATGTGATATATCAGTCAGTAAGACGCATTATGTGCAGGTGAGGCCGGCAGTAGGAGAAAAAATAAATAAATAGAAAAGTTAATTCACTAGTTATAGCACCCACCATCCAATAAAGTAATTTAATTAATAATTATTGGTTTAACTAATAATATTTAATTTTTATTTTTATACACATACATATATGTTTGTTTACAAGTTACAAAGTAAGCCACATGATTTTTATTTCGCGATCAAAATAAGTGTGGGGGCTTAAAAAGTAAACGAAAAAAGAAGTATCCTGTATGTTTCGAAAGTTGCATGATGAGGATAATCAAGACTTCCCTAAAACACCCGAAATTCCATAATATAGGTATGTATTAGGTACTTTTACAAAATTAAGCTCGAAGCTTGAGCTTGAAAACATAATTGATATAAGTAGCGGCACGAAAGTCTAGCGTTAACCATTATTGCGCATAAGTCGCGCTGATTGGCTCGTGAGTATCGTTCGCACGCGCTGATTGGCTCTCCAAATGCAATTCAATATGTGCGCGTGCCCTCCACGTTTCGTTCAGCGCTAGACTTACGTGCCGCGACCTTTATTAAAGTTAAACAATAAAAATTCAGTAAATAACAACCTTCATAGAAGTCATAAGTGCACATGGTCTTTCCGGTGATGGTGTCGTAAGGGTCTTCGGGGTCGGCGAGCGCCTTCAACTCGCGCACCAACCGTCGGTCCAACTTGGCTGGCCGCTGAATTGTCTTGCCAAGAACCGTCTGTAAGCATGTACATACAGGGTTATTTTGGAATAGTCGGCCAAATTTGCAGAGAAGGTTCAGAATAAGTAATATGGGCAAATAGTGAAGAAAAGTTAATGAAAAAAGTCTCAAACATTCTGTCCTGTTTTATTAACCTTTTGAATTCAAAATGCGTGGTAATGCATTATTTTAACTATTTTTACTGCGCACGCACACATTCGTAAGGATCGATCGGTAGGAAAAAACATTGTTGCCATAAATAATATTCAACTTGAGATAATTTCAAATAAAAGTAGAAAGAAACCTTTTTTACTCGTATTTTCAAAAACTGCAATAACGGTGTATCATTATTTATATATTTGAATTTAAGTTTAAAATTTGGCTACGCTTTGACAAATAACCTTGTATATTACAACAAATTACTTGGAATTTATACATGGTTGCAAAACAATCTACTCTAGAAGACCAGCGATAAAGTTATAGCTAGTCGATTAAGATTAATTATATTAATTAGATCAAGAGAGCAATTTTCGCTTGTCACTGAGATTAAGCACGTCGTGTCCATTTAAAACATGCGTAAAACCTAACACCTACCCTCGTTTAAAAATCAAAATGCAGATGCGTTGTCAGCCCTGAGGACTAAGATGGAATGCCTCGTTTCAAGTAAAAATGGTCTCCGGTTCGCTACACTCACCATACGAAACACAGCAGCATTAAGCTGTTATTTTACACTGATATTCTGTGCGAGAGAGGTCCTTTCCCGGTCGAGGCGACCTATTCGTGCTGCAAGCATAAAACAGTGGCTTTACCTCATTAATGTTACGAAATGTAAATAGATCTGTAGACATAACGGGCTACTCAAAAGAAAAAACTGTTAAAAATGCTTATGAAAAACATACAATTGACACTATCAAAACATTGCTCTCCCTTACTCATTAGTGACTTAGCTGATCCATTTGGGCATTTTTTTTATTCTACTGCGGATATTTTCTTACAGATTTTATTACGAAGCGGAACCCCGACTAGAACCCACTCCATTTCTCACTAAACGTAGTGTTTTATATAATTGTTATTTTTTTTAAATGTTACCCCCACACCAGCAATTTTGTATCGTGTCAGTTTACATTTTTTTTATAGGATAGGGTGACAAACGAGCACACAGTCCACCTGATGGTAAGTGATTGCTGTGATCCATATACATCTACGTCTATCCTCAATAAAGAATCAAAATGCAGATGCGTTGTCACCCGTGAGGACTAAGATGGAATGCCTCTTTTCCAGTAAAAAGGGTCTCCGGTTCTCTACACTCACCATACGAAACACAGCAGCGTTAAGCTGCCATTTTACGCTGATATTCTGGTTTACATACATAAATTTCACAAGGACAAAACAACCAGGCCCCGAACAATTATTTGTAGGCCATACAAATACTTGTACCGTGCGGGATACGAACCCGGGGCCCTCATTGCTATGCGCCACGGAGCCGTATTTATATACCTTTTGTCGTAGGTATATAAATACGGCTGGTAGTAAAGGACCACTGATACATACATACTCGTATATCGCAATTTAGCCGAGTTGGATTGTTATATTAGTCTCTAAACCTTTTAGTTGAAGCTGTATTTACTGAGCCGGTAATTATGGCGAGGTATACACGATAAATTATTCATCAACAACTTCGAAAGTAGGTATTCGGATTTGTAGATACATAGGCGGAACATGCTCGTAACTCTTTACGAATGGCCATGATAGAGGTCACTGTACAGTGCTAAGTTCTTCCAGCGACTGTCATAATTATTATCGTCGTCAAATCGAAAGTGAGTAATGTATTTACGTATTCACCATTGATGTCGATACTGTATCATTTTCAATTCATTCGCTAGAAACTTCTTACGGTGCAGCCGTGAAGAGGCTCAAAGCACTAGGTGGTAAGACACTTTTCTCTCTATGAGTCAGTGTGGGTTGGTACCCCACGGACTCCTAGACTATACTCTTAAACTAAACGTGGTAGAGCCATGCTGCAGCTATATTAATTGTATAGTTGTAGCACGAATGGGTCGGCTCGACTGGCTCTCACAGAATACCAGCGTAAAATAGCAGCTTAATGCTGCTGTGTTTCGTATAGCGAGTGTAGGGAACCGGAGAACTTTTTTACTGGAAAATAGGAATTCCATATGTGCATATGTATGTATATGTATGTGTGTATTTATATTTCTTTGTAACCGCCTTCGTAGTTCTATCACTATCCTAAGGTTGACTGTCAGACAATGCTTTGAGCCTTAAGTCTACCTTTTGATCCTGTACTTAATATGTAAAGTTCAATAAAGTTTAAGGGTACTCCTAACCCCTTTAGTACCCTTAACCGACGAGCGTTTATGCGTTGATATATGGATGTAAAGAAGGCGAGAGAGGCTTGTCAGGATCGTGCAAAATGGAAGTCCGTAGTCTCTGCTATCCCTCTGGGTGACAGGCGTGAGTGTTTATGTTATCAATAAAGTCTAGATAAATAAATAAAAATTCAATCTTGATCCTCACGGCTGACAGCGCATCTGCATTTTGATTCATAAACGAGAATAGATGTAAATGTCTTTGAGCCACAGCAGTAACTTACCATCAGGTGAACTTTATGCTCGCTTGTCACCTAAGATGTTTTTAAAAGTATTGGCGCGTCACCAACAAAGTTTTGTTGTCAACACAACATTTGTCAACACGTGTTGCCGACAAATGTTTCTGTAATCACCTAGTTTTAGCAACAAAACGAAACAATGTCGGGAATCGTGTTTCCATCTTCGGCGGCAACATCAAAGGAATACGCTTGTTGCCGACATTTGTTCCCTCGGTGGAGACGCTTCTTGCAACATTTTGTAACATTTTCGGAAACAAATGTCGTCAACTTTTGTTGATTTGTCAACAGTTGGAAACATAAATGTTGTCAACATTTTTGGTGGAGACGCGTCATAGATACGTCGTACTCGCTCTAGAATGGCAGTAGGAAAGTCAGGTAATTAATTGCCCGACCTGCATTCAGTCGGGCACATACTTATGTCGCGGGTCGCGGCTATACTTCGCTACAGCGCGCAAATCTTGTAGTTATTCGTGGCAAAAATACCTTCGTGTGTTTTAGGTGGCACAAATTACACTGCAACTGTTAGATACAAGAAAAAAGTCTCATTTCATTCGTAAGTACAGTTTTTTTTATTAAAACATTAAATGTAATTTCGTTTGACTGTTGTTTAATACGTGTAAGTTAAAGAGCGAGATGTAATCTGTTCTATGCGTGAGAGTGAAAGAGACAATGTTAGCACGGTCTAATGGCGGCCATTGCAAGGGGAAGTTGAGGAAATTTTTTCCATCACATTATGTATGAATCTAGAACTAAAAATTAAATTTATTCCTTAAGGCGGCTACTCAATGGTGATGTGTGTATACAAGCAGTTATATGCCTACCTTATTTTCTAATATTAAATACACTAATACAATACGTTCTAGAAAAGAATGAAGCGAATAGAATATTACTTATAATTTATTTCTTTCCATTTAAGATTACCTAAAGATGGATTAATGAAAGAAAAATGGTTAAAAGTAATTAGGAATCAAAGACGTGAAGATGATTGGATGCCTACTACTTATTCACAGTGTGCTCCGAGCATTTCCTGACAAGTGATGTTTATATTACTAAAAACAATTTACGAAGACTAAAAAAAAACAGCAGTTCCTGTAATTAAAGTAAGTCTCCAGCAACATGGTAACATTGTGTAGTTTCTTAATTTTTGCGGCACCTAAAGAATTTGTTTTCACTTGGTATACCTATCCAATGCTGAGATAACAAGTTTAGCCACAAACCTTTACATCCGTACATCCAATATTTTTGGGTTAAGCATAATTTTGTAATAATATGTCCGCAAGTTGTAATGTAATTTTATTTTTGTTAACATAACATTCTTAGCATTTTTTTTAGATGGTTCCACACTTAACCTTTTCGCTCGGGATACACACAGCTCAGTCATTTTGAATGAAAAAGGAAAAAAATATTTTGGAATTTCATAAAGTCCTCATTTATTTAAAAAATATCAGAATGACGAGTACAATAGATGATTTCAATATTTTACTGGATTTCAGATTCACCACCTATGATGTAATATGTATCCAGATAATAATGTATCGATATTTTATTTAAATTCTTTTTGTTTCAGAAAGAAAAACAAAATACCATATTATCATCACCGTCAAGTTTGCAATAAATTATTGTATCCGACGAGGATTCAATTTTTGATACCCCTCTAAAAGCATTTTTGAAAACAAAAGTTAGAAAAATTTCTCTGGAGAAACGCCGGCTCCAGTTAAACAATTACAATTTAATTAGGAAAAACAAAAGACTCAAAGAAAAGTGTAACAATTTAAAACAAATTGTGTTAGAGCTCAAAAAGAAAAAATATTTTACAATAGATCAGATAAAAGAACTGAGTCTTAAAGCTGAAGCAGCAATCAATACGTAACTAATGATATATATTCATCTTTTTCTAACGATCGGTATGCTCTATCATTTGTCTCTTTTTGTTAGCACAACGTGTCATAATAAGTAACTGTACGTAGATATAGTACTACCTGCGCCACTTTAAAATACAATAATGTTAGTGTGTAACCTGTCTATCTTTTTTATTACGTCTTTGCTTGTCACCCCTATCCTATAAAAAAAAACAACCCTCTTACCTATTTCTGTCGCCTAATATCCAGTGTATTCCAGTCTAGGGGTATAGGGAGCCAGCATTATTTCAGGCTGTGAGATGCCATCTTAGGCCTCAGAGGTGATAATGCATTTGTATAGCCTTCTTAGTTTGAAGTAGGCGGCATTTGTTAATGGGCTGTGGTAGCCACTTACCATCAGGTGGAGTTTAAGTTCGTTTGTCACTTCAGTCTGGTTCTATACTCCGTTGGACATTATAATCTCTCCGTACAAAAAAATAGGTACAAAAACAATTAAAAACTTATGTCCTTGCTCGTAAAATCAACATGAATTTAAGAAGTGAACTCATTTTATAAAAGGCTTTGGACAATAGAAAGAGACAAGTATAGTAACATATACTATGGAGTAATTATGGAGTAAGACCGTTAACGATTACAACGGTGAATTAGTGAAATATATAAAATTTCACTCAATATTTTTAATTTATTACTTCACTATATTTTATATAGTGAAGTAATAAATCTTTTTGAATTTTTGGAAATTAAAACATTAAAAAAAAAACCGGACTGTATAAAAAAGTTTACTGAAAATAGAAAGATTTTATACCACAACTTACCAAAACTTCTACAACTAAGACGAATCTCATATTATTATTACCTTTGTTAAATAATCACACCCATATTATCTTAAAATCCATTAAGCCGTTTTGGGTACAGAACGTGCATACATACACTCGTAAAACATCGGAGGTATTCAGGTAAAAATTAATCCTTCTTATACTTGTGCGGTGTGCATGCTGCTAAAAAAGGAAACTGACGAGTACCACAGCGGAATGCGGCAGACAGCAAAATTAAATAAATCGCACTCAGTGTACTCGTTGTCAATTAGTTTTGAACTGCTAGTCAATTAGTTTCAGTTCAATAAACCCAGTAGGACTTTTTTTTTAAATAACAGCTTACAATCATGTAATTACAATTAACCACACAAAACAAATTAGAAATAGCTTGGAAGCGATCACCTCATTCCCAGGGGTTATTATCATCCATAAATTCCTTAATATTATAATAACCCTTTTTATACAAATTTTGTTTAATAAAGTATTTGAACTTTGAGCAGGTTAAAGTTTGTATATTTTCTGGGATTTTGTTATAAAAGCGTATACATTGCCCCAAGAATGAATTACTGACACGGTGGAGTTGAGTAACTGACAATATTAAGAGTTTCGAGTTTTAAAAACCGAAACATATATACGGATATAGAACTTATATTATAGAAAATTAGTTGAGAAAATTTTAAATGTGGCAGTTTTCATCGTGTATCTGTAACAGTCAAAAATCATAACCGGTCAAAACCACTTTTGACTGCAAAAATCAGGCAAACATTTGATTTGACCGATGCCCTTTAGTCAAATACAGTTTTGACTGATTTTTGTAGTCAAAAGTGGTTTTAACCAACGTTCTATGTCAAAAAAAAAGAAAAAAAGTGGTGTTGTCTGATTTAAACTTCAGACTATCGGTCAAAACTCACAATATCTACAACAGTAAGTAACAGGTTAAGGTGCGGCTGGGGTAGCCCAATGGTCACCTTAAAGCCGCATACATTATAATGATAATTACAAAATATAATATTGAGGAAATTGAACATTTTAATTTCAGAAATTCAAAATGTATAAGTCAAAAGAAGTTTTGACTAACATTGTTGGACAAAACCACTTTTAACCGATGTAATTTGGTCAAAATCACTACTACCCAGTATTTTTACAGTTAAAAGTGGATTTAACCAACGGCCTTAGTCAAAACTACTTTTGACTGCAAAAATCAGTTAAAAGCGGTATTGACAAACGTCCTTAGTCAAAACTACTATTCCCTGATTTTTTACAGTCTAAAGTGGTTTTGAACGGTAATGAGTTTTGACTGTAACGTATCTAACAGTAATTCTTAATACGTAGTTTTTTTAACAACTTAAGTGCGAGAAAGGAACTAATAGTCCTGACGGTAAGCGACATCATCGACTAAAGACCAAACAGACTTGTAACCAACTTCAATTAAATAATGTGACAGATGCTTTCCCTAACGACTAAGATGCAATGCCACAACTATACTTTCTATATTAACCTTCATATCAAAACACAATAGTGGCTGCAATCTTTGCGTGGTGGCAGACATAGTTGGGGATGGTACTTAAATAGGGATACCTAAAAATATTTAGAATCCTAATATTGTATCTATTTGCCATAAAGGCAGTATTGCAATGTCCAGACCTTAGTTTATATCTAAAAAGGTTATAAATCAAGAAAGATTTTCCCAGTCTGATCTACTGTGAGTTAAAAATTTCAGCGAAACTATCCATGAAGTTATGCTTTTCAAAACTGCAACACATAATAGTAGTTACAAAAATATAAAAAAAAAGAAAAGATAAAAAGAAAATAAATTTTACCGACAACTATAATATCACTTTTTAATATAGTTGTATTTATTATAATACCGTATTAGGTGTAGTTGCAAAGAGCATCATCAGACAGAACCATCGTGCAGAGAAAATTTATTCATTGATAAACATTCTCATAGGCCGCTATTTATATGTCAAAGATACTCAACAATGTTTTGGGGGACTCTGTATTTATTAACTGGGAATCTGAATTCTCTCTTTCCCTGAAGGTCTCCGGACGAAATTCGGAAAAACCACCGGCTGTGACAGTAAAATAATAAAAATAAAATAGTATTTCAAAGTCATACACTTACCAATTCTAATGCATTTTTCATCGCCCCGTCAACAGCTTCTTCAGAAATGACGACGGTTCCTCCCTCGTATCCGATTCCACCGCAAGTTCCGATCCGGAAGAACACTGGGTCACGCACCTTTGCATGATACATCAACTTGATCACTTCGTGCAGTAAAATTCCCACTGAAGGAATACCCATACCGTGCTGTAAATAAAAGCCACTTTTTATTTATGCCCTTACTGCCTGCGCAGTATCTCCTTACTGCCCATCTAAAGTCTACTGTTGAACAAAGGCTTCCCCAAGTGATTGCCTCTTAGAGGCATATTTACTATAGTTGTCACACAGTAGTTTTTCATTATTATTATTGAATCAGGAAGGAGTTCCATCTTATCTTTCAGTTTCCCTCTGTTTTCTTTTATGACACCCACGAGACGTGATATATGGCCTAATATATAGATTATTTTAAATATATAGATTATGGATACCACCACTGCACAGCAAAATATTTTTCATAAGTGCCGTGATGCACAAATAATTGTGCTTGATTTTCTACTTCCTGTTTTTATGGCAGCAGCATAAGCATAAAAGTTCATGACATGTCATAATATGTCCTGTTTCTTCAATTTTTATATCTTATATACTATGCATAAACTATTGTTTGCAACGCGCTTAAAAGATTATTTAAATAATTTTCGATTTTGTAGAAACAAACATATTTGCGTTAATAATCGTTTATGATTAAAAGTAAATATATTCCACATTAAAGAGTAAGCTATGTTAAAAGTAAATAGATTCAATATAATGATAAGAACATTCGATTGTCGAGCGAAAGTTCAGGGTTCGATTCCCTGGTCGAGAGTCAATTCCACAATAGTTTGTTTATAGATTAACTTAGAGTCACGTGTTATATAGTAGTCGGCTATGTAATACGAAAAATAGTTTTACATTCAATTAGATACTTGTTTTAGTTAAAAATATGTTATGTTCTTGTGATAAGAGGTAAGTTACATAATGGCTAGATAAGATTAGCATATGTAAATAAATAATGTTTTATAATGAACAGAGATAGCTGTAACTTAGAAAGAGAAAGCACTAGCCTCCTACCGTGGTGACAACTGACAATGGTCAAGGGTCGTACAGAAATTGGTTGTTCGTTTTGTATGGGACTTGAACAGCGTTTAAATAATGTGCTAAAATATAAAAAATAAATATTGTTTGGCATGTTTAATCAATTTCTGAAAATTTTAGTAATGTGTGAAAAAATAGGCAATAAATGTGTAAACATCAAAAATAGGAACGCCAAATACGATACGATTTATGAATATTTCGTAAGATTTATTATAGCCATACGTTACAAATAGTATTAAATACATCATCTTTTGTCATACGATAATGTTAATACCATAACAAGTATGACAATATCCTACTTTCAAGTTTACGAATATTTTTCTTCAGCATTATTCTAACTACCTATTCAAAATCGAGTATGACGTCATTTAATAGGTATAGTAGGTTTTTTAAATTATACTTTTAGGGAATAATATAAAAGAATATAAAGAAATGGTAATTTAATATTTTTAGTGTAGCTTCTTTTTGCAACTTTATTTGAAATAAATTCAAAATGTAATTCAGATTAAAAAATATGCAACAGTTCATTAAAAATTCAAAAATCGATTACAATCGATTGCGCATCCCTAATCATTTTTCGACACCACATGATGTTTGGCGAAGATGGCAGCGATTAATGTTATTAGTCGAGTATAATACTTTTTAATGTTCATTTTTGCACGCAGCTAGTCCGTTTTATAAAAGTATTTGCAACTAATATAATAAAATAGAAAATTAATTATCGTGTATGTCCGATGCTTTTATTACATAGGGCGATTCTGGACATTGTCCTGTATATAAGAAAATTAAAGTTGAATTAAAGTGTATTAATGCTGCTTAAAGATTTTAATTTGTGAATTAAACTATTGTATTAGTTGAAATATTCATGTTTATTTATAAAGATTGTTGGTCTGAATATGTGTAATAGATATTTAAGATTTAGTTAATGTTTTATAAAATAGGTGTATTTTGTTTAATATCTTAATATGTCTTTATGTACTATCCATGTAGTGTATATCATAATAATAAGACTTTTGTGTGTTTTTCAAGTGAAATTATGTAATAATATGCTTTTAGAAATAAAAATATGGGCTTAAATATGAACATGCGATAGCGAAAATCAGTGTTAGATTATGTTGAAATGGCGCGCGGCGCGCGGTTCTCTTTGGCGTATAGCTATCGTACTAGGATAAGAAGCTGGTATTTTGGAAATTCGACCTGTTGGGTGTTATACACACACCTCAGCAGATGACAACGTAGATGAAAATTCGTTCGGAATCAGCTACCAGCTTCCAGTTTTAAACCAAGAAAGAAAACAATAGGAAAAGTAGTGAAAATTTTCAATGTCGCATTTCTAAGGGGAAATTACGAAGATTAATCAATGTTTTATTTCACGAATCAACTCCATTACGGTCGGCTACATATTGGCGTCAAGACCGGGACCATTCCATAGGGACCCGTAATCTTAATCGTCTAACCTTTGTTTTGAGAGAGTACAGACGGGCTTTGAGTGACACACCTTCTCGGGGGTCACGCCCACTTCGTTGTTCCCGAACCCAAAGTGGTACCCCACACCATTAGTAATTGTGAATAGAAATTAATTCATTGGTTGACCCCCTTGTGTGTACCCTTTTATCTATGCATAAACATATATAAACTCTAGCGCCTGCCAACAGGCAAAGACCGCGGCCACGGACTTCCATTCGGCACGATCCCGAAACACCACTCTCGCTTGTTTCACGTCTATATACATATCTACGCATACATACTTGTCGGTTAAAGGTGCTCTTAACTTAGCCAATCTCCAATATATCTCTAATTTGGTTAAAGTACTTTCGTCTAGGGCGTTCTTTGCCACTCTCAACACGACTCGACTTTTGCAGCATCATTTACTTTAATCCTGGTCACAGCATCTTCTTGCAGAACACACTTTTCTCTTATCACATCAAAAAGCAGACCGAATTTTGGTCACGGCGGCCAGTCTCAACGTAGACTAGCCATATGCGCATCCAGAATTATAGTGCCCGAGTGTATATGCAAACACAGGAGCACTCTCTATTTCCTCACTCTCATAGTCTGATGGGACTCGTAATCCGACACGACCAGGGAGAGAGAGCATGCGCAGGACCAACGGCTTTACGTTCTATCAAATGCAAGAGGTTGAAACACCGTCAATTTTCTGACTTAGGGTTGCTACTGAGATTTTTTTGGCAGAAAGTCCCAATAATAACCCATTTTGGTGTGACCCGGTATTCGAACCCGGGACTTCATAATCAGCTATCGCGGTTACAACCACTAGACCTATGGGACAGTCAATAAATTACACAAAAAGGACAATATAAGGGAGATGAGTTACTCGCATCCTTAGGCTTCGACCACCTAACCCTAGACCCACCCTACACGTGTCCCCCGGGTGGTGCTAAACGAGCGAGAAATCCGTAAGAACAGACTCGGCTCCTCGCCGTATGGTAGCAGCGTAAAATCTCCACCCCTTAATTCGCACCATGAGACATATAATAAAAGAATTGTCCCTGACTTCCCGTCGCCCCTTTAATGGGGCAGGTGTGCGAAGAATCTCCGGGAGTAAAACCGGCGACGAGGTTCACCACCCGTCAGGTTCTGTCTCCCAGAGGGGCGAAAAGTGGATTGCAGAGGCCCGTGTGGCTGCGCTGAATGTATGTAGAGCAATGAATTATATGATGAATGAAGTATGCAAAATTATGTACGACAGAGGAATAGATGTATTATGTGTAAATAAGACGAAACGAAATGGAAAGAATACCACTGCACATGACATGTATGCCGCTCACTGGTCTGGTGTAGACGAGATCTAGCGAGCATGCCAGGTGTCGGTATCATCCTTTCAGAAAGAATGGGTCAATGTGTGAAAGAGTATAAATGTGTAAGCCCGAGGCTGCTATGGATACGAATGAAAGTGGGCTTAAAGAAGTTGTTTGTGCTAGGGGTGTACGCCCCAGACATGCCTAATTCTAAATGAGTGTGTGTTCCATCCAAAAGTAGTTTCAGGACCTGGTAAGGATGGAGTTAATGAAATGTAAGAGAAATAAAAATATTGTTATGTTAGGAGTTATTAATGGAAGGATTGGGGTGAAGAGGTCAGGTTATTAAAGTATATTGGGAACGTTTGGTGATGAAAATATAAATGAAAATGATGAAAGCCTCCTCACCGTATGTGTGGAAAATAATATTTTTGTGATGAACACTTTCTTTCGTCATAAGGAGATTCACATGTATACATGGAAAAGAGGTGACGATAGAAGAATGATAGATTTCACAATTGTGGATGAAAGAACGAGGAGCGCAGTGGTAGGTACAAGGATTTACCGGGGGTCCAACGTAAAGATGGATCATTACTTGGTCTTGTGCCGAATTAATGGTCTATTCAGACCTTGACGGCATCGAAAGTCATATTCTCGAAACTCGTAAGAACTGCCAGGGGAAATTCAAAATAGCCTAGAATTAATGCTATACGAGATAAGAATTGCTGTATGCTGAATGACGAAGTTTTGTTTTTTTTTTTTATAGGATAGGGTGACAAACGAGCACACAGTCCACCTGATGGTAAGTGGTATCTGTGGCCCATAGACATCTACATCTATCCTCGTTTGCGAATCAAAATGCAGATGCGTTGTCACCCGTGGGGACTAAGATGGAATGCCTCTTTTCCAGTAAAAGAGGTCTACGGTTCTCTACACTCACCATACGAAACACATCAGTGTTAAGCTGCTATTTTACGCTGGTATTCTGTGAGAGCATGGTCCTTCCCCGGTCGAGCCGACACATTCGTGCTACAACTATACCCGAAATATAGCTGCAGCATGGCTTTACCACGTACAATGTTTAAAGAGATGGAGGAATACTTTGAAAGCGTGTTTTTGAGTAAAGAGGCGTTTGAATTAAATGAACTAAAATTTCCGAAAGAAGTGGAAAGAGGTAGGGAGATATATATAGATGAAATAATGAAAGCAATTAATAGCATGGAAGCAGGTAAGGCAGCCGGCTATGATAGAGTATCACTAGAAATGCTAAGGTCTGGAGAGGAAGTGGTGGCAGACCTGCTGTACACCTTGCTTAATTTATGTTGGGAACTAAAGGGGGTACCGGAAGACTGGTGCAAGCCCTTGATAGTCCCAATATATAAGCGAAATGGGTCACAGTAGAACTGTAAAAACTACCGTGGTATCATCTTGCTTAGCATTGTGGGTAAACTGTATGCTAAGGTGTTAATTAAAAGAGTTATGAAAGAAACTGATGAAAAAATTTGGGATGTGCAAGCTGGATTTAGAAAGGGAATGTGGGATGTACGGATCAAGTGATGTCCATGCGCATGATCGCGTGGAAATTTTTGGCCAAAACCCAGAAAGTTTTTTGTGCATTAATGGACTTTGAAAAGGCTTATGACAGAGTAGATAGGAATGTGTTAAGGCAAACACTGAACTCATTTGGGTTTGAACGCTGGGTTGTTACAGGCATTAAGATTTGTTTTATAGAGACTCTAGTGCTTATGTCAGGATCAACGGGGCCTACTCGGACTGGTTTGGTATCCATAAAGGTGTCAGACAGAGCTATGTGGCTTCCCCGTGGCTGTTCAACCTATTTATGGACAGTTGTTTGGAAACTTTGAAATTCGAAGAATGTGGGTTAACCGTGAAATGTCTTTTGTACGCCGATGATCAAGTAATATTTGCATCGTCAGCGGCAGAGTTGCAATTGCTGGTTACATTAATGAACAAGTCATTAAAAGAAAAGGGAATGAAAGTGAACGCAAGTAAGGCTTAAATGATGGTTTTTGAAAGAAAAAAAAGGTAAAAAGATATGGGAGATAAGAAGAGAAGGGTAGTTGATTAGTAGCAAGTGGTTTTTGTAGTATTTTGTTGTGGAGAACGACGAGTGAACGCAGGAAATAGAATAAATGGGTTTCTACACTCTATTGTGGGAAGTCAGAATATGTCAAGAAAGGTACGTATGACAATTCACAATGCTGTGTTAGTCCCTACTTTAATGTATGGTAGTAAAAGTTCGGTGTGCCAGAAGAAGCACGAGAGTAGAATAAATGCTGTAGAAATTCGGTCATTAATGAGTATGTTAGGGCTGAATCTGAATGACAGGGTGAGAAATTGTGTGATAAGAGGAAAGTATGGTTTGCAAGATGATGTTGTGATCAGAACTAAGGAAGAAATTCTTCGGTGGTTTGGTCATGTAGAAATAATGAACGAGGAAAGAGTGACAAAGCAAATTTATATTACAGAAGTGAACGGCAGATTCGGGAAGGGACGTCCTAGACGAAAGTTTATCGACCAAATTGGCGATATATTGAAAATGGGCCAGATTAGGAGTACCCTTACCCATTAATGGACGAGCATGTATGCTATATGTATATGGATGTAAAGTAGGCGAGATAGGTGTGTCAGGATCGTGCCAAATGGAAGTCTGACTACCCCTCTGCGTGATAAGCGTGAGTGTTTATGTATTATGAATATGTATGAAGAAACAATGGGCGGCCTTATCGCTCTGGAAGAGATTTAATCCAGACAACTTTTGTACGACAAATTGGAGAGGTGTACATAAATTAGGCAATTAAATTTTTGAAGGAAAAAAGTGACTGAGTACGACGTATATATAAAGGCAAGTTTCTATTCCGTTAAAATCTATCATCTCTACTCTTTTATAAATACGCACTTATTAAAAATGAAAGTAGAAGGTTACAAACATTTTCATTTTCGATGAAAAAGTTTCGACCCACTCTACATTGTTAGAATTATAGGATAAAGGTACATTGGAAAAGTACACATAGGGGCCTGTAACCTAACAGACTGTAAATATTTAAATAATCGAATAAATTAAAATATTTTTTAACATTCACAATAATCCCAACAGTATCATACTAAAAAAATTGTGTCTAATAATTTCTGCTGAATATAAAATAATTATTTTATGTACTATTTTCCGTATTTTTTTTTTGTTGACATCTTTATTTGAATGCAGTCACGATGCAAATAAATTATATTTATCAACCAGCACAAGATCACAACTTGGTGATATAACGTATGATTTGTCCATTTGTCTCAATTGAACAAACGTCGCATCAAGATGTGCTAACGAGCGCTGCAATTTATATGAATAAAGTCATCTGAAGCATGTAGGTCTTAAATTAATATTACTATTATAATCATAACTAGCGAGCCGTCCGGTCTTTAACTGGGTAGCATCTAATAATGTAGCGTCATTTAGATTTTATTAAATAATCATCAATGACCATTTATTTTATCAGTTTTTCGATTTCAAAAAGCAAATACTCCAAGTTTTTCAGATGAAATATAGTCTAGATGACCCCTAGCACTGTTCTCGGTCTGTTCATGAAGTTTCATCGCAATCCGTTCGGACATTCCGAAGATTAGCCCGGATGGACATACAGACAGATAGACAAAAATTATAAAAATGGTTATTCGTGTCGTAATAGCATGAAAATAATCCCCTGAGCGCGATAAAAGGTGGTTACTTCGATATTACAGACATTCACTTCAATTTTATTGTATAGATAGATAACGTACTAATTAGACCATTTATTTTATCATCTTTTTTTTTCAAAAACCTTCTAGATTTTCTGGTAAAGTATGACCCAGATCACTCATAGCATTGCTCTCTATCTGTTCTAGAAGTTTCATTACAATCGGTTCAGCCATTCCGACGATAAGCACGGACAGACCTCTCTATCTGTTCGAGAAGTTTCATTACAATCGGTTCAGCCATTCCGAAGATAAGCCCGGGCAGACCTCTCTATCTGTTCGAGAAGTTTCATTACAATCGGTTCAGCCATTCCGACGATAAGCACGGGCAGACCTCTTTATCTGTTCGAGAAGTTTCATTACAATCGGTTCAGCCATACCGAAGATAAGCCCGGGCAGACCTCTCTATCTGTTCGAGAAGTTTCATTACAATCGGTTCAGCCATTCCGACGATAAGCACGGGCAGACCTCTCTATCTGTTCGAGAAGTTTCATTACAATCGGTTCAGTCATTCCGAAGATAAGCCCGGGCAGACCTCTCTATCTGTTCGAGAAGTTTCATTACAATCGGTTCAGCCATTCCGAAGATAAGCCCGGGCAGACCTCTCTATCTGTTCGAGAAGTTTCATTACAATCGGTTCAGCCATTCCGACGATAAGCCCGAACAGACCTCTCTATCTGTTCGAGAAATTTTATTACGATCGGTTCAGCCATTCCGAAAATAAACCCAGAGAGACCAACACATCAATTTTATTCATATGTAATGTGTAATAATGTAAAAGATTATAATATGATGGATGACAAAGTGTGATAATGTAAGGGATGTAAAAGATTGTGTAATAATGTAAAAGATTATAATATGATGGATGACAAAGTGTGATAATGTAAGGGATGTAAAAGACTGTGTAATAATGTAAAAGATTATAATGTGTGATAATGTAAGGGATGTAGAAGATTGTGTAATAATGTAAAAAATTATAATGTGATGGATGATAACGTGTGATAATGTAAGGGATGTAGAAGATTGTGTAATAATGTAAAAAATTATAATGTAATGGATGATAATGTGTGATAATGTACGGGATGTAGAAGATTGTGTAATAATGTAAAAAATTATAACGTGATGGATGATAGTGTGTGATTTCTGATAATGTAAGGGATGTAAAAGATTGTGTACCTAATAATGTAAAATATTATAATGTGATGAATGATAATGTATAATACTCTAAAGAATGTAAAAGATTATCGCATATAAACTCATCATTGCGTTTTATTGCGTTATTTCGTAATTATCGACCTAAAATATTCAATGTTTTTTATAACTTTCACTAAGGCTCATTTCGTTTATAATAACCCAAAAACATACATCATACGCTAGTACTTCTTATTAGTTTGTGTATCATACACCGTTCATTTAAATGAACATTACCATTCCGTACCGTACCATAAGATCTATGAATAAATAAGTAGGTACCCACAGAGTACTTTTTTATATAGAAAAGTACATTTTTAAACGTCGAAAGAGACCTCTACGCGATATATGCGTCTCTTTAGGTCCTTCATGTATATTTATACTGTGCTTTAGGTCTCTATAGACAAGGGTTGAAGAATGGTGACCCTCCTTATAGGTAGAGTACTTTGTATCCTCAAAAAATGCTTAAAACGTTTAGGTTTTCAAATTACTATGAAGTTTTGAAGTCTGCAGTCCGCGACCATCCATTAGATCACATATATCCACATATTTTATAGCACATAAATTAAAATTATTATTTTCTTATAGAGTGCATAAAATTGTTCATTTTTAAAATTTATAGTATGTATTGAATGAAAAGGGGAAAGTAGATCAAAGGACATATACAAATAGATAGATTAGCAAGGTACTTGCTTATAGAAGATTTTAGTTCGTTCATCGTAGTACCTCGTCTATAGCAAGCAAATAGTAAATTTAAAAAAATTGTACAACTGACTTCAATATAAATAAACTTGACTTGAACATCATCAATGCAGTCGAAGTCAATTAAATACGCATTATTAAGGATAACTCAAAAATTACTGGTCAGACCTTGATGAAATTTATATGGGACCACATGAGAAGCACCAGCTTTCAAACAAAAGAAACATTAAAATCGGTTCAACTAAAAAAAGTTCTGAGGTAAGACACATAAATAATACAGTCGAATTGAAAACCTCCTCCTTTTTTGAAGTTTGTTAAAATATCCTATAACATGGAATTTACTTTTTACAATGTTAAATAATATATGTACTTACACTTATAGATAGCACTGGCCCAACTTTATACATAGAGTATCGGTACGAAAACTGGCTGATGTCCTGTAACGTGGTGCCACAAGGCAGTTTGTGACCGATTTCCGCCATAATCGTGTAGGCGAACTGCTCCATGCGCTTCGGTGTGCCGCCCATGCACACGAACTAAACAAAAAATAAAGGTTATATAAGTAATGAACTTCTCTTCTCTGCAGAAACACACTAATTAGTATTAATTACAAGTAAAGTAACATCTAAAAAGGTTATCACACTGCATCGTGTGCAGGGATTTGAGGCAGAGAGTAGTCCACCGCGCTACTCCTATCCGTGTTAGCAAATTTCACAAGTCTGCAAAATATTTTTAATTTCTCAGATAAGCAGGTTCAACTGAGTGCGTGCAAGTAGCATTTTTTAAACATTAGGATTTTCTCCTGTATCGTGGGGGGAGTTTACTTATGCAAATTTCACTAGGACAAACATCCAAACCCGGAACAATTATTATTTGTAGGCCATATATGAGAATTTCTTGACAGAAGACCCTAATAACTGATTTTAACCTGTCTCGGAATTCAAACCCGTGTCTAACAACCAAGCAAAACCAACGAGGTAGTCATACACCCACGTGCGCACTATACGCGGAGAGTAGGCCTATATTTTATAGGATAAGGGTGACAAACGAGCACACAGTCCACCTGATGGTAAGTGGTTGCTGTGGCCCATAGACATAAGACATAAAGACATTTATTCCAACACTTACATACATCTTCTACACACACGGCAAATTACAATTAAAAATAAAACAAGTGACTTATGAACAAAATCACGTGCTCGGCGGTGAAGGAAAACATTTTGAGGAAACCTGCATGTCTGAGAAATAAAAAAAAATATATCTCGAAGACATGTGAAGTTCGCCAACACGCATTGAGGCAGCGCGGCGGACATTTCCTTGCCCTAAAACCCTCTCAGAAATGAGAGGAGGCTTGTGCCCAGCAGTGGGACGTATATAGGCTGCAACTTTTATCAACAAAAAAACATAGAATAAAAAAAAGAAGTGCGTCCATTACATGCATATGCAAACGCATATTTAAATTTAAAAAAAAATCGTGTGCCATGATGAAGTGGTGGAAGGGACCGTCTCAGCATAAGCCGCGAGCTTGCAGCGCTGATTTTCAGCCGGCCCCGAACAAGTTCGGACGGTCAAACTTTATGCGAGCGAGTATTTTTTTTTTAATCTATATTCTCTACCTCATGTGAGATGTGCTGTAGACAGTAGTATGCAGAGTCCCTACGTTTTACTAAAATGTTTATGACAAATACATGAATATATATATACACAAACATATATACATATTAAAAATGACAAAAATATAAGCAAATAGTATAAACATATATAGAGGGTAATAAATACAAAGTAACAGGTACATATTAGGTATACATTAAATAAATATACTATAATCAGTCAGTTATCATTAAAGGTAGATATAAATTTAATTTATGATCTAGACATCTACATTTATCGTCGATTGCGAATTAAAATGCAGATGCGTTGTCGCCCCTGAGGACTAAGATGGAATGCCTTGTTTCCAGTATAAAGGGTATCCGGTTCTCTACACTCACCATACGAAACTCAGCGGCGTTGAGCTGTTCTTTTACGCTGGTATTCTGTGAGAACGTTGTGCTTCCCCGCACGTGCCAATCCATTCGTGCTACAACTATACCAGTAATATAGCCCCAGAGGGTGGCAGATACATGAATTAAACTATAGATTAATTTTAATTAATTAATATGTTAAACAATCGAATTAAGTTATAATGAATTGATTTAAATTGAATAAGATTAAATTAAATTAAAAAGATTAGATAGAATTATATAAAATGAAATTAGATGAGATTAAATTTAATATAATGTAAATGTTACTTGTTCCATACAAGTCACTCAGTCTGAAATAAATTGTTTTTTTTTTTATAGTTGTAGAACGTGCTACTAACATACATGTTGCATCTAACTATAACTATATCACTATACCACTAATATTAGTGGTAAAGTGATAAAGTTAGCTGCAGCATGGCTCTACCACGTAAAAAATTATATTATCACGTAAAATATTATGATATATTATTTTATTGTAATAATTATTGTATATTATTATGTTGTATAAATGAAAAGATTTATAATATCAAGTGTAATAATTATAACAATAAAAATTTTATTAAATTATATCGATAAAGGTAAAGTAATATATTTCGCTTACTTTGACATCACCGAACATTTCGACGAGATCGTGCGAGCCGCTGCCGAGAGCCAGGTGATATAGAATATCTTGGTCCATAAGTTCGATGTTCGGGTTGCGCAGCCGTACGGTGCCATCTGGATATCTAACCAAGAAGACATTATTTTAAAATAATAGCCAGTAACACCGACGACGGCAGGAGTGAACAAGAAGGTGCACTTGCATACCTATTTCGTGAAAAAAATACGCAGGAAAAATTAAGAAATATTATTATTTTTTACTTGTGCGTCTTTTCCTATGCAAAGAAAGACACATTCCAGAGACGCATAATCCCATTATCATCATCATTATCACCATTACAGCCCATATCAAGTCACTGCGGCCTTTGTCCATTATGGAATAACACAGAGCACGGTCCTGAGTCACTTGCATCCATCGAATTCCTACATACACCCTCACCCGGTGCCTTGTCCTTTTGATAGACGTCCGGGCAGGGGCGTAGCTACCGCCGTATCAGCCGTACCAATGCTATGGGGCCCCCGGGCTACAGAGGCCCCGAACGTATGTAAGCAAAAATTCTAAGGACTTCTATGGGACAGGATGTTGGTTTGAATTGTTTACCTAGCTTAATTCCTAGGAGCATTAATTGTAAGTAATAACTTACAATAAATGATACAGGGCCCCTCTAAGGCACGCTACTCCACTGCGTCCGGGATATCTCTAGAATATTGTCTGATGAGACTTGTTTTAGGTTGTTATATAGGCGTGGTCTCAATTATTATATTCCAGTGACGTTTAATACGTGCCGTGTAGTGGTGGTATAAACTACCCCATATTTTCCCGTGGGTGTCGTAAGAGGCGACAGTGGGAAACCGAAACAAGAGATGGGCAGCAGCATCTTCTTGATAACAACTTAAAATTATTAGAAACTGCGGTTGCCAACCCGCCTGCCAAGTGTGACAACTATCAGAAAATACCCCCATGAGAAAATCAATTGGGGTAACTATGTTTTCGGTTGACTGTTATAGGCTGTAATGGATGGATGAAATAAAAATTTGTCATGTGGTGGCGTCGTATATCCCCCCCCCCCCCCCCCAATCGTCCCATAGGTGTCGTAAGAGGCTACTATATAATATGCCAGAGAGGCGACGTCGGCCACATATTTTTTTTTTATAGAATCGGGGTGACAAATGAGCACACAGTCCACCTGATGGTAAGTGGTTGCTTTGGCCCATAGACATCTACATCTATCCTCAATAAAGAATCAAAATGCAGATGCTTTGGCACCCGTGAGGACTAAGATTAATGCCTCTTTTCCAGTAAAAAGGGTCTCCGGTACTCTACACTGACCATACGAAACACAGCAGCATTGAACTACTATTTTACGCTGGTATTATGTGAGAACGTGGTCCTTCCCCGGTCGAGCTGAGCCATTCATGCTACAACTATACTATTAATATAGCTGCAGTATGGCTCTACCACCTAATAAACATATTAAGTTGTTATAAGGAAGATGCTGCTGCCCATTTCCTGTTAATTTGGCTCAGTCGGCATAAGAATTAATTAATTAAAGATTACAATAATACAAACCATTGTTAAATCATTTTATATGGTGCAAGAATATATACTTATATACGTTATACCCCATACAGTCCCATGGATGTATGAGGCGACCAAGGCAAACTAGGATATTGGCAGCAGCATCTTCCTATAACTACTAAAATTTAAAAAAAACTCCCGATAATAATCTAAATGGAAGGCCTATTTTCTGCGGTGGACTTTTGATAGGCGGTAACGGTACTAATGACCTTAATTTACAGTTACTGATTGAAAGCAACTGCTCCTCGTGTAGTAAGTATAATAATTTATGCTACACAAGCAGCGTTAATGTTTCAGATATAGCTACGATAAGGGTAAAATCGATCAGAGCGATAATAATATTCCATTACTTACTGCTTACTGCATTTAAAATACAATAAGCGGTTAAAACACATAAAGCAATATTTATGATGTAAAAATATTTTTATAACTTCTTGTCCTGCATTAGTTCGTAAAAATCTACTACTAAGCAAATCAGAAAGTAATTTGCTTTAATCGTCTCGCACTTTTGACGCTGCTTCACATTAGTCTATGTATTTTAAGGCGTAAACAAGATGGTTAGATCGGTGTCCATCGGAAGATATGAAATTTCCTATAGTTATCTTCCAAAGGATCTAAATAATTGATATGGGTTTTCTTACGTTACAGCACGGCTAATTTTTAAGACGCTTGACATAAAATGAACAGTAAGAAACTAGTAATTTTACTCAAATTTTATCAAGGAAAAAAATTAGTATACATACAGCATATGCAGCAATATTTTAATTACTAGAAAGTTTTTAAGGACTTATAAAGTACCGTTTATCTATCACTATGTCATGTGATATCACTATATATGTGAAATCAAAAATTTATTTTAATTGAATTATCGCTTATATTTTATTCGAAAGATTAGACTAGATTATCTGTATTGCTTTTACTAGATAGTAGTAATGGTTGTAGTTAAACGTTTAGTGCAATGACATTGCACTAAACTACTACCACTACGTTTTAAATACAACCATTCCACTTATTGTCAGTGAAATTCATTCAAATGTATAGAAAATTTTGATAGTTCTATTATATTCTACCTATTTCATACATACACTGAAAATCCACAGTGAATATTCCCTTAAAATTTACTGGTAATAAAAGATGGCATAATACTCTCTTGTAGTAGGACAAAATAGCACAGAGACCGTGATTTTCCTACGACTATAAGTTTTTACTATTTTGTTTATCAAGCTTTTGGCAGTAAGTCTACTTATATGGATATAAAATTTTGGAAAATTAAATAATGGGCGTCTCGATCGGATTTAGTAGGAAGCGAGATACAACCAACGGACTATTTAATAATTAACTTGTCCCTTTGTTCGGTGGAAAGTTTTAATTTGCTGTGCTTTTTGATTTATATAAAAGTAATAAAACTAAGTATTTATTAAGTATTTTATAGAAAAAAATAAGGATCGGTGATCACCTACTAGGGAAAATGCACACTGAGTCTAGACGTACGTGTACGCATAAATAATGGTTCCAAATTGCAGGTCCAGGTGCGTTTTCTTATCTACCGAATCAAAGTCATGTCGCACCATTAGTTAATTTAGAGTATTTTCAGTTAAATGAATATTGGCGTCTAAATAGACACATTAATTAAATACTTAATATTGAATCTTATTGAAAACATCCCTTCATGTTTAATCCCGTAATTATTCATTCATTCATTCATTTATTCATAACAGTCAATCAAAAGTTCACAAGTGGAATTGTAGAGATACTATTAAAATGGTACGTAATGCTAACCGACTATAGAAGGAAAAAAAGATTAAGTTCGTAGGTACCTATATGTAGAAAAAAGCTACAGTATTTAGAATTTTCCAGTTCATTTCATTACAGAATCGACTCTACGTGATATATTTATGGATTTTATCACGTTTAATTTCGGTGTCTGTGATTTGCGTAGATTGGGCCAGATATAAACAATATGATATAAATGCTGCAGGGAGCTCAGGTCAACTATGACATCAGGACGTCCAATACCTCAGACCCCCGTGACAGTGAGTACTGTAAAGTTTATTAATTTTAACAAACTATAAATAACAGCGTAATTTGAATCTGGTTTCATTTCTTATTTTCTACTGCTATAGAGTACCTAACATTCTACATTGAAGTAATCGCGCTGTTGCAAGTGCATATAGTTACTTATTGCTTGATTTGACGCGAAAGTAATGCGATCGAATTACAAGGATGGAGTGCCAATGCCAAACCGAACGTCTCTGAATGTCGCATTGACTAAGCAAGCTTGTAGGCTGTGGCGAGTGAGGCCGTTCACTATACTTTTTTGTGCTACACTGTCCGACGAACTTCTTTCGTATAATATATGCCTCTCGTTTCTAGTTAACGTACTAAGTTATTGTTCATAATGACGAAAAGATTAAAATAGTGAGCTCCAGATTGAGTAAAATGTGACTGGTAACGATAAAATTTTACGATGAGATCGATAAATTATTTAAATTAAATATACTTTTCTGTGAACAAAGCGTTAAAATTAGCAAATAAGAGCAATATATATACAAACAAACACACACACTCACAATATATGTGTGTATGTGTGCGTGTGTGTGTGTGTGTGTGTGTGTGTGTGTGTGTGTGTGTGTGTGTGCGTGCGTGCGTGCGTGCGTGCGTGCGTGCGTGTGTGCGTGTGTGTGTGTGTGTGTGTGTGTGTGTGTGTTTTGTTGTTTTATAACAAAAGTAGGTAATCAATGTTGACCTAGTTTACCCTCCACAGACCTTCCTACAATCCAGAATCCTCCCCATCGAAATTCTGATTTAATTACGCTATGAATAAGTGAGGTGGCAATTAGAGACGCCAGATAAAAATAGTGACGAAATACTCAGGAGCTAAAACACTTTTTGGGAGGATTCTAAGTTGAATTCAAGCTAGCAGCGTGTAAAGTTAGAATTTGAAGCATATCTCACCAACGGAACCGAAGTTATATTAAAAATCATTGCCTTTGGGAGGAATTTGGTTTGAAGATTATATTTCATAGAATAACTCTAGTACACTCATGACTTTCACTAATAAATATGGATCAAGATTTAGTGACTCACTAGTGACTATTATTCTACTTACTTCAAAGCTTCAAACCTTGTCTAAAGTGATGTTTACATTTCGATTTCAGTACACTCGTGCATACAATACAAAAACTTCGCTTTGAGTTTATTTCCAGGTTTATACATTAGTTTAAAAAAAATTACATATCTATCTCGCCATTTTTTATGACCTAATAAAAATAACTGACACAGTATTTCAATTTTCAATTAAATAGTAACGAAAGTGAACACCTGGGCTCTGTTTATTATTTCATTTTTAGTCACTTCAAAAAGGAAGAAGTTTACAATTCGACTGTATGTTTTTCTTTTTTTGGTATGTATTCGTTTCGTCCTCCGTCAATTATGTACTAATTTTGATAATAAATTCTTATCAAATAGGTTATACTTCGGCGGTAACATAAAAGTTTAAGAAAAAATTCATCCCTTAGGGTGTAAAAATAATTGATGGAGTTTTTTTTTATAGGATAAGGGTGACAAACGAGCACACAGTCCACCTGATGGTAAGTGGTTGCTGCGGCCCATAGATATCTACATCTATCCTCGTTTGCGAATCAAAATGCAGATGCGTTGTCACCCGTGAGGACTAAGATGGAATGCCTCATTTCCAGTAAAAAGGGCCTCCGGCCACCTGCACTCACCAAACGAAAAGCAGAGGTAAACCTCTACTTCACGCTGGTATTCTGTGAGGTCGTGGGTACCACCCCGGTTCGAGCCGGCCCATCCGTGCGACAGCAAAAGCTGCCGCGTGGCTCTACCACTGTTAGTTTTTAATATACCTACCTATTTAGACGACATTCCGGTTGTTACCTTGAACTTGTGATATTAACTAGTCCATTCAAAAGGGTAACATTTTTTACAATTAATATTTTTATTGAAAAAGTAAAACAGACTTCTAATACAAAAAATAATAAAATAATTTACACATATTACGAGTAAGTTTCTCTGTAAGTTAGTAAATCGGTGCAAAGGCACGGTGCATTGAAGAATTATTTCACTGTACCTAGATTATGTTACCATAAAATACAAACTCTTTAGATGATATTTAATTAATTAACTTTTGCTTGCATCCTAATATTTATATAAATTAACGGTGGTGATATAGCGCTGATAGCTGATGTACAGGTCCAAATTAGCTTTATTAAGTGTTAAGCAAATATCTGGTTGTACTACCTTTTGGAAATAAAGAATTGATTATTATTATTAAAGCCCCGACTTCAGAACCCGGGTTTATTTTATTTATTCAAAAAATATTTAATTCATATATATTTATAAATATAAGTAACGCATATTTCAAATTATTTACGAATTCTTTAATAATAACCTAACTGTGTCAGGATCCACTTCTTCCATTAATGTACTTCCGTTATCATACATTCTATGGCGGTAACCATATTCTCCAGAAATTCGGTCCACCCTCTGCTGACATCCATTTTCATGCTCCAATTGTCCATTATCATTTTCACAATTGCACGGCATTTTTCTACGGCTTGATTTTTATAACAAAAATGCAACTAAAACAAAATACAAAAATAATCCTGAAAATATACATTTATACTTGTATACATTGTCTATAGCTATAAAGTTCATTATTTTAGTTTTGGCTTAAAAATAATCAATACTAAATTTTATATAAAATATCTTATATTTACTAATTTATTCGCATACATTTGACAGAATTACAAAATCATCTAATACGAAAAGTAATTACAATATCTAACTTTTATGTAACCTTTGCACATTTTTTATGTTCTAGATAGATACTACTTATCACGAAAGGCTAGTTAGTTGCGTGTTTATAAGTTTATTAAAGGTTAAAACATCCAGATTGTTTTTAATAATCCCAACTTGGATGTTTTCATAGATATGCATTGAAAATATTTATTTTGCAAACATTCATTCAAGGTCGTGCGCATAAGCTACATTCCCTAAAGCGCGTAATTCTTGCACTAGTTGACTTTAATAAATTTGATATAATATGTTTATGTTTACATGTTCTAGTTAGGCATCTTGTTTAATTAGATAACACTGAATATGTAAAGCATCCGCCGTAAATTTCAAAGTAAGCTAGCAATCCAAGTTGTATCCCTGCAGGCACCGATGTAATTGTTAATTACAATTTTAATTGCTGATAATTTACCATGTGATATAAAGGTAAACATTGTGTTAACTATATAAAGTTCGCTTATGGCGAACCAATATTGTTTCAGAAACCTCTCAGAAATGAGAGGTCTGTGCACATTAGTGGCACGTATACTATAAAGGCTATAATTTTAACCTTATGTAATTATTTCGTATATCATAACTATAATTTGATAAACGGAACAATTATATATAATATACAAATATATTATTCAAACTCTTAACATATTAATACATACTTTGAGCACTATTAATAAAAATATATACAAAAATCTCACCTGAGATAAATGTCTTAACGATCACAGAACACAGACACTATAATAAGTAACGAATACTCAAACGAACACAGCAATGCTGCAACTACAACGTAGAGTCACGACAACGTTTCACAATCAAGTAATAAACATTAATCCAACCGAACCCCTACCCGGCTACCCGCTGCTCTTTTCATAGTTTCTTTGTCGCGCTCACGTTACGTAGAACAAGTGTGAATGGAGTAAAATTTTATCCTGATCATGACCTAAGATCATTGTTGAACAGAATTACTCGTAAGAGATGAAGATAACGTAAATAATTTAACGGTCGTTTAAATTTTACACAAACACAATCACTATTGCGATTGCGTTTATATTTTATTATTGTTAGCCGTTTGATAAAAATCTTGATGGTTGTTATTCAACACACCTTGACCTTAACAATTGATAAAATGAAATATTTGTAAATAATTGCTATAGAGAATATATTTTTAATTACACTTTTATTTGTAAATCGAAATATTTTTTTCTGTTTAAGCGCTACGTATCAAGTAATGCCAAAACCATGCTGAACTTCTTGACGCACTCACGTATCTACCCTTCTCTCTTATATAATTCTTTAATAACCCTTAAAAGTTTACTGCTGCACCCACATATTATTACATCCACCTAAAACCATGTTGTGACTTGTGATCGTGTGTTATTGCAAAAGTTGCGTATGATTTTGGCTTATTTTTGCGTCACATGAAATGTTCGCAGTGCTAATTCTTTATTTCTATATTGATCTAAAGTTTCATACAATACCAGTTGGTATTTAAATTGACATGCACTGTGATTGGAGTAACATGACGTATTTTTGTTTGTTTTTGCGTGATCATAATATGATAGTACTTTATCTTTTTAGTAAATATAAATGATGATCACATCATTGTAAATATTTACATTTTATCATTCATTTCTGTAAACCACTATTCGCCACTCCCGATAACTAAGGATATTTTCCATATTTGAGAATTCAGGCACTTATTAACACTTTCACTGTCCGGTTTTCAGACACAATAGTAAGACAATAGCAATGACCTATGTATATATAATGCATGGGACAGCAAAAGGTTTAAGTAATATTGAAGAACTTTCACTGCTTATAAGACGCCAGATAAGAAGAGATCAGGTGCTGGCGAGAGTCTTCTTAATCAGTATTTAGTTGAGTAAAATTAGTTTTTAGTTCAGCTTCATCATCATCATCACAGCCCTTCACAAGTCCACTGCTGAACATAGGCCTTCCCAAGGAATGCCACAAAGCACAATCCTGAGCATCCATCGACTTCCTGCATGTGTTACCAGGTAATCACTCTATCTAGTGGAGAGTCGCTCTACACTTCGCCTAGCGATACGAGGCTGCCACTCGGGAATCTTTTTTAGTTAGTTGGTTTTTAGTGCGTTGCATCCAAATTCAAAGAAATTTTTGTGATTTTGTGTCCTGGCTAATGAATAATAAAAATAACGTTCTTCCCTGATATTCTCTGATATATAATATAGAATATCAGACAAAATATAAGTCCACCCTTTTTAACCCTTAGTTGAAGGTGTATGCAATAATGAATGAATAAATAAATAAAGATAAACTTTTCTAACGCGTGTTAAACTCATTGATAAGTTTCACTTTGATAATTATTCAATATTCATACCTCCATCCACGTTCGACCTTCGTTACTTCTTACACTTGACATATGGTGTTTTTAATAAAGGTTGGATAAATAAATAAATATCCGATGTCAAAAACTCTAAGCAAAGTAACCTCCATCTTAGAACTTTGGTACTTCAGAATGTGTTTGTATAATTAATATATCGTTAGCATTACCATTACCGCCTATCAAAAGTTCAGTACCGGACATAGGCCTCCCTCATTAAATGTTCATAACAAGCTGTTCCCCGCGACTTCGCCCGCGTGTAATTTATTACGATTGGATTTTTGGGTTTTAATTTTTTTTCTGTAATAAAAGTAGCCTATATTACTCCTTATAACATCAGCTATCTGCCAGTGAAAGACCTCATCAAAATCGGTCCAGCCATTTCGGAGATTAGCTGGAGCAAACAGACAGACGGACAAAATTTTTAAAAATGGTGTTTTTGTTATAAGTACCGTATATACTTTCATATGTATTTAGTAAAAAACTGTTATTTTGACATTACAAACAGACACTTCAATTTTATTTATTTGTATAGATAAGGATATTTACTATAGTGGCCACGCTTGGTAAGCGAGTTGGCAACCGCAGTTTTTTATTTTTATTCAGCTGTAGCTAAGGAAGAAGCTGCTGCCTATCTCTTGATTCATTGTCCATATGTCGCCTTTTACGACACACACCGGATGACAGGGGGTAGTGGATATTCTTACACTGCCACTACACGGTATTGCTCATTCGTAACGTTTTATTCAGTCGTGAAGGTAGCTAGAGATTTAGAGATTAGTACAACACAAAATTATCTGTAAAACACAAATCCATTAACTTTATAAATTCAATATCATTCATTCTCTTAAATATCAGATTGTACAAAAGTAAACACCTCAATTCCATAGGGCAATCGCCATAACGGATAAGAATTTCCTAAACATTTCAAATTTCTATCGCACAAAAACAAAAATATCTGTCCACTCTCCAGACTTTGACTTGCTTAGTTAGGTTCTGTGGGCTGCGCTGAAAACATTG